CTGTTTAATGCTTTGGTGATTTAGTTTCTTGCTCACATTCTCCCAGTTTTGGCTACTTGGAGCTCCTTCAGGTGTGTGCTGGCATCCTCCTCCAGCTCTCCCATGCATCTCTTCTTGGGCACTTCCTTATGTATAGCATCACAGGATGCCCAAAGTCCATTGTTGATTTCCCCTTCTTCAATCCCTGAATCAAGCTCTTCTCTAAGGAATGTTGGCTCCTTCCGTGGGAGAATGGCATAGCCAGACCAAGATCTAGGTGCCAGGTGTGCACACTGCCACTGGCCTTGCTCCTTCCTGGGTCTCTCTGACCAGAGCTGGGGATTACAGTCTTGTATGAGAGGATCTCGGCATTTTGAGCAAGGATGAGCTGTGTGTGAGAATGATGGTGGGCACATGAGATGAGATCACCTTAGTTTGTGTGGGACGGGGTTGCCTCATTTGATGCAATTCTCGGGACCTCTCCTTGTCATGAATCAGTGTTGACTGTGAGGCCATGCACTGACACAGCGATGCACACTGATGCAATTTCTGTATCTGCACACCTGGACGGAGGAGTAGGAAAACTATGAGTTGATGCCGGTGTCTCTACTGACCAACAGCGTCAGGCTCAGGGACTTTCTGCACCTTCTCCAACTGATTTGTCAGATGAGTTTATTTACCTCTAGCATGCACTGTGACAGCTTTACAAAGTCTGCTAAGCCACACCCATTAGAAACACATCCGCTGGGCTGGGGAGATGGCTCAGTTGGTTGGGTACTTTGTGAGCACAAGGACCTGAGTTCACTGTGAAGTTCAAAGTAATTCCCTTGGAAATTGTAAAGATTGGCTCCCACATGTGAACTTGTGGAAAAGGTGGCATCAGGCACAGGATCCTTCCTATCTCAGACATGTGGCCCATAGTGGAGTGAGAGACATGGGTGGCAGGCAGGCCCTAAACTGAGAACTATTGGAAACTGATTAATACTGGGTGAGGGAGAGTATGCCTTATGATCTCTGAACGGGCTGGCTAGACTCCAGTGGCTGGATTTGCACTGAAACACATCTGGGTACAAATGCTTGACTGGATGGGATGTAACATGTATGGCAGAATGCACGAGGTCTGGTCAAGGGGTGTAGGGGCAAAGATGGGGGAGGGGATCTAAATTTGATTAGGTACTGCCGTATGAAATGCACAAAAACTCAAAAAAAAAATTTTTAAATACTCCCTAACGATTTTCTGCTTTTTGTTGGAATCAGTATTAACTCCATTTTCTATCTCTAATTATATTCATTTGGCCTTCTCTCTTTCTCTTGGTCAGTTTGACTACAGCATTGACAGTCCTAATTATTTTTTCAAAGAATAAACTCCTTCTTTGCTCAATTGTATATACTGTTCTTTCAGTCTCCATTTCACTCATTTCTACCCTGATCTTTATTATTTCCTGTCAGCTACTCTTTGGAGGGTTGAACTGTTCTTGTTTTTCCTAGAGCCTTTAAGTGTATCATTAGGTGATTTACTTGAAAGCTTTCTGATCTTTTAATGGAAGTTCTCCTAGCCATAAACTCTCCTCTTAAAACTGTCCTACACATATCCCAAAAGTTCTGCTAAACTGTATTTTCATTTTCAGTTCATTCCAGGAACTTTTTAACTTCCTCTCTGATTTCTTCAATGACTCACTGGTCATTTAAGAGTGCATTGATCTGTTTCCATGTGCTTGTGTAGTTTCTGTACTTTTTCTTGCTACTGATTTCTAGTTTTGTGATAAATACAAGAGATTATTTCAATTCAATTGCATTTAGTAAGATTTCATTTGTGGCCTCCAATGCAGTCTATTTTATAGAAAAAGGTTCCATGGGCTGCTGGGAAGAATATACGTTCTGTTTCTGTTGGATGGAATGAATATTCTGTATACATCTGGGAAGTCCATTTGATCTATGGTTTATTTTAACTCTAGTGTTTATTTGCTTATTTTCAGTTTGGATGACTTATCTAGAGATGAGTGGGGTACTGATAATTCATTATTATTGCATAGGATATGATTTTTTTTTTGTCTTTTTGAAACAGGGTCTCCCTGTAGCCCCAGCTGTCCTGGAACTATGTAGACCAGGCTGGCCTTGAACTCACAGAGATCTGCCTGCCTCTGCCTCCCAAGTGCGCCACCACACCCGGCTAGGATCTGATCTTTTATATCCATTATTTTACATCAACTTTTATATCTTTTTTAAAATGAAATTGGAAATCCCAATGTTTGGTTCATATATACTTAATGACTGTTATATATTCTTGATGAGTTGTTCCATTTACTAATATGTAGTGCCCTCTTTCTCTCTTCTAATTTGGGCTTGAAGTTTACTTAATCAACTATTAGAATACTGACACCAGCTTGTTTTGAGTTTCCATTCACTTGATAGATTACTTTTCATCCTTTGATTATCTGTCAGTGTCTTGGTCAATAAATTGCGTTTCTTAGAGAAAACAAAGTTAGATATAGTTTTAATTCACCATTACCTTTTATCTTTTTTATTTATTATTTTTATTTTATGTGTACGAGTGTATTGTCTGCATGTATGTAAGTCCATCCATGTTGTGCAATGCCGCGGAGGTCAGAAGAGGGCTTCAGATTCCCCTGGAACTGGAGTTAAGGACGGTTCCACGGCCATGTGGGTACTGAGAATTGAACCCAGGTCCTCTGCAAGAGCAGTCAGTGCTCTTAACCACTGAGCCATCTCTCCAGCCCCTCACCACTACGTTTTAAATAACCATTACCTTTATGGTAATTATTGAAAGGCATCTATTAATTCCTGTAATTTTGCTGATTTTTTTGGCTGGTTGGATTGCTGTTTTATTTATCTTTTCCCACTATCGATAGCAGAGATTTGCTGGGTTAATGTATTGGACATGACGGATTACTTCCCAGCTCTTGAATCAGCTATTTCACTTGTGAAGCCATTCTAGTATTTATGAAATAAAATTAATATGAGTGCTGGAGAGATGGTTAATTAAGAGCACTGGCTGCTCTTGCAGAGGTCCCGAGTTTGGTTCCCAGCAGCCCCATGACAGCTAACAGTCATCTGTAACTCCAGTTCCAGGGGGATCCTATGCCCTTTTGTGGCCTCTGTGGGCACTGCACACAGGTGGTGCACTTACATACATGTAGTCAAACACTCATACACATAAAATAAAAATAAATAAACCTTTTTTGGGAAACTGTTATGAATTTTTATAAAATAGACACAGCAAACACATTTCTCTGAAAACTACCAGTAACTAAGGAGACAATTTCTACAGAATTCAGAAAAACTAAACACTAAAACTGTAAGCCATTTCACAAATAAATTCACTATGAGGTCATCCACTTCCTACTTAAAAGATAGCTGTAAATTTCTGAAACCTAAGACTACTTATGCAATCACTTGAAAAAATAATTCTCCTCTCTTTCACTGTGACTTCATAGAAATAGAATGACACATGTCAAAGGGGTGATCATGCCAGTCATTTTAGTTAGTGATGGAGACCACAGAGGGACTGCCTTATGTGATAGCTCACATTCAGGTAAACGCAACTGAATTGCACTTGACAAAGTACACATTTTTGGAAAAACAAGCAAATATAGCATGGGCTCAAGGCCTCCAAGACATCCGCTCTTCTTTTAACACCACAGTTTTTCCTGCTGGACTTCAGATTCTTGGCTCTGGAGCAGCTGCTGTGTTCACAGAAGAGCCTGCCTTTACCACCATCTTTGAACCAAAGGCAGGATGCACCTGTGCTTGAGTCATAAGCAGATGCTTTTCAAACTACCTGGCCTAAAACACCAAAACCAAGTAAAGAACATTTGTCTTTTTGCCACTTAAAATGACTGGTCTACAAATTCCAGTAGGTGGAGACTCATAGCCGATAACTGGGACAGAAGATAAAAATGGGAAATTTATAATCTCCAAAAATAACTGCTAATAAATATTTTATTATTGTTTTTATGTGTGAGTGTATTGCCTGCATGAGTGTAAGTGCACCCGTGTTGTGCAATTTCCCTTAGAGATCAGAAAACAGTGTCAGATCATCTGGAACTGGAGTTAAGGATGGTTCGTAGCCACAATGTGGGTGCTGGGAATCGAACCCAGGTCCTCTGCAAGAGCAGTCAATGCTCTTAACCAGTTGAGCCATCTCTCCAGCCCCATTTTCAAGTTTTTAAAGTCATTCCAGTTGGCAATTTTCTCAATGAGTCTGCAGACAATAGAAGTCTCTCTCAGCAAACAGATAAGGATGGGTCCATTTTCTCTGAGGAAGCAAAAACTTTCTCTTCTTGATTTCAGATGGCCTTGTACAGAATGACTCTTCCATCCCGGCTCCTGTGACTATCACTCAAAAGGTGATTTTGATTAAAAACTTTTCTAAAGGAGTCACAGTTATGGGTTGTTTATTCCACAGTGACCTTGTTTGTTATAATGACAAGCTCTTCCTTTGGTTTTAAAAAGTCTTACTTGAATTATTTGGAATTATATTGACTAAAGAGGGACAAAGAAATAAGATTCTAGACAGAAAAAGCATTAATGATTATATAATAAACATATTACCCAAATCACACAGAGGAATAACCGGGCAACATGTTCCCCTTTCTTTCAGACTATATGCCTGTCCATACCTGCAGTATCTTCCTGCCTGAATCAACAGGAAAAGGAAAGAGGAAACCTAACAGAGAAGGATGTTGTATAAAAAAAAAAAATACACGCCGCCAGATGTGGTGGCACATACCTTTAATCCAAGCCCTTGGGAGGCAAGTGGATACCTGTGAGATCATGGCCAGCCTGGTCTACTTAGTGAGTTCCAGGACAGCTGAGGCTACAGAGAGACTCTGTCTCAAACAAAAAACAAGTAACAACAAAAAACACATACAAAGGAACCACTATCTCTAATGTACACAAATGCAAAAGGAAATGCGTGTGGCAGAGAGTACATAGTCCACTTCGGCATTTCCAACAAATCAGGTAGTAGAAACAGCCAAATTAACTTCATTGGTACTTACAGATCATATAGAAGATGGATCTTAAAGTGGTAATTCTTGAAGGGATTCCTAAATAATGGTTCCATATAGCAGATGAACAGTGTCAAGTCCCCTTTCATCCAGCACTGTATGTTCCAGTTTATGCCTGAATTAAAAATAAAGTACATTAAACCTGGGAAGCATCCTGAACAACCCAATGAAAGAGAACAGTCAAAAGGAATTGAGCAGTGTTCTGACACAACTTCCCCACCTATTCTGAGAGAAAAAAAGACCGGGCTCTGCTAGGGAGATGTCTGTAAGAGTCATCATTACCTTTGGCCTTCAGTTCAGTAACTTCAGATCTCTTTATTTTTACGTCCAAGAATTAAATTCAGTTATTGCTTCTCAAACTTGTCTTTAATCTCAAACTACATAAACAGGACAAAAGATTCACCTGTCTTAATTCACTGTTATTGTTCAGGAGAAAACAATACATCAGATATGTGTCTGCCTTTACAAATAAGGCACATGGTTCATATCGACTATGACACAGGTCTTAAAATTCGTCAGTGTAATATCATAGGACTCTAATAAAATATGAGAGCATATTTCATTCATACTAAGTACCAGATAATGATGATCATTTATGATAATTTTTATTTATAAGGCAGGAATAGCAACAAATTAAAAACTTACTAATGGCTGGGCCTGAAGAGATGGCTCAGCAGTTAAGGGTACTGACTGCTCTTACAGAGGACTTAGGTTCCATTCCCAACACCCACATGGCAGTCAACTGTCTGTAACTCCAGCTCCAGGGGAACCAACACCTTCTTCTGACCTCTGCAGGCACTGCATGACACAGGTACACTTACAGACATGCAGGCAGTACACTCAAACACATAAAATAAAAATAATAAATAATATATTTTTAATTACTGACAAGGTAGACAGATGACTCAGCAGTTAAGAGAGTTCCTAGTCTTTCAGAGGACCCAAATTTGGTTCCATGGCAAGCAGTTCACAGGCACTTGTAACTCCTGCTCTAAGAGATCAAATACCCTCTTTTGGCCTTTGAAGGCACCCCCACACATTGCCATACATTTCACACACACACACACAGACAGATAAAAATAAATCTTTTAAAAATTATGACTAACAGTGAAGTGTAGTGGCGCATGCCTTTAATCTCAGCACTCAGGAGGCAGAAGCAGGTGGATCTCTATGAGTTCAAAGCCAGCCTGGTCTACATAGTTAATTCCAAGCCAGCTGGGGCTACAGGGACACCTTGTCTTAAAAAGACCAAAAAATAGTTGTGACTGACAAGACAAAAATAAAGTAAGACAGCACTGACCTATTTCCCCAAATGAGAACTGTTTCTAGCTAATGTATCATTATGAAGGAAAAACCTACTTGGAAGAATAATAAATTGAAAACTTTGGTGACCACCACTTACCCTCCTCATTTTAGTTACAAAAGCTTAAATTCACTTAAAAATCAACTAGTTAGTCATTTGTAATATAAAATTAAAATACATAGCATCACAATCATTTCCCCTTCCTAAATAAAGAATGTGCTGACATTTTTTATTATTTCATGACTCACCACCAAGACCCTATTCATTCTTAGCATATTTAATTTTTTAAAATTTATGTGTATGCGTGTGTGCCTGAGTGAGTATATGTGCACCGTGTGCAGGCAACTGCCCATGGAGGCCAGAGGGGGAGTAAGATATCCTGGAACTGGACTTCCATGCAGTTATGAGCTGCCTAATGTGGGTGCTAGGAACCAAACCCAAGTCCTCTACAAGAGCAACAAGTTAGCTCTGTCAGAAACACCAACTCTACTACATGGGCTCTTGTTTCATTATTTACAGACACAGTAAATACCCCACATAGCCAGGCATCATAGCACACCTTCCTATACGGCATGTTCCAGGTTAACTAGGGGCACATAGTGAGACCTTGTCTCAAAAAGAAAATAAAAGTGCTTTTTTGATTTCAAGAAAATTTAGACTACAAAAAGTGTACTTACAGGTAAAAAAGAGTTCCCTTAATTATGTTTTTATAGGATATAAAATGCTTTGGGGCTTATTAATTACATGGTGAATTCTAATTTTAGTACTAATATAAAAAGATATATAATATATAAGAACATGCTAATCACATCCGTAACAAATCTATTTCATACAAGTTTCAGAGAATTAAAATACTTTGATCAACTCAGTCAGAAGATAATATTGATGCTTTGTACCTTAAACACTTACCTCTTTGCTGAAAAACTAAAGACTTTACTGTTGAAGCAAATGTTTTCCCTCCAGTGTTGTCTGCGGGTACAGAGCAGTTTTCGCCTTGCTCATTCCCAAAGCAACAGTGGAAAACTGTTTTAGATAACTCAGAAGTGTAGGTGCCACTTGAATTAAACGTAGCTTTGACGACGGCATCATACTCCCCACTCGAATCTGAGGAGTTCTTTGAGATTCCAGCAGGCGAGAGAAAGGCACCGTCAGTTATATTTGGTGGTATGCAAAACAACTTAAACCTCCAGGGAGAAAGTGGAGATGCCAGGTTAAGTGCAGTTATCACATAGAGAAATTCTGATGGGACGGTAAAAAGACATAGAGAACAAGTCATCATTTTGACCAAGACTTGAGTAGAAAGCACTGAGACTGATGGTGTAGTGCTCAGTGACACCCCTCAAAATACTGAGTGCCTAATGAATAGCCCTGAGCTTCTATGTGCAGTGTATTATGCCTGAAAGGGTGATATATTTACTGAAATTCATGCATCGTTTTTCTCATTAATCTAACATTTTATTTCAATAAAAGGAAATTAATACCAATTCTCTTCCTTTTGTAATAAGATTATTCTAACTTCCAGAATAAATAAGAAATATCTGGATGTGAAATTATATAAATCACTCTTCATATTCATTAGAGAGAGTCACAGCAAAATAGTAATACTGTTTTCACTGAACACTTTTGAAGTGACAAGTTTGCCTTGGACAGTTTCTTGAACCTGCCCAGGATCCTCCAGATGTATGACATCACACAGGACATGCCCCATGCACTCCCCAGGAAATGGTGCAGAACCACAGACTTCTTCCAGGACCCGGCTACTACAGGGTAAATCATCACTTTCTACACCTAAAACTAAGGTCACTCATAAAATGTTGTACCAAAAAAAAAAAAGCCTCACTTTTAACCTTACCTTTAAATACACACTTTTCGGAAATAATTGATCCTCCACAATTCTACTTTTTACAAATTATCCAAATAAGCCAACAAATTTCTCACCATTTATACCCAGTAATGAAGAATGGGAATTCCGAGAGTGGTGTATGGATTTGTATGGAATGAGAGTTTTGGGAGATGTGCAGTAAATGTAACAAAGTGTAAAGAAACAGAAGCATCCAGAACATTCTTTACTATCTGAATGGATGGACAAATTATTAAGTCTCAGGAGTAATACTGAGTTCAAAAAACTAAAAAACATCAAGCCATGAAGAGACACAGAGGAATCATAGATGCATGTTATGAAGAAGCCACTGAAAGGATGCAGATTGTGACTCTACAAAGAATGGTGGTTGCCAAGATTTAAGGAGAAAGGAAGGATAGAAAGCAGTACCTATAGGACAAGCACGCAGGGACACTGTTCTGCCTGGTCCTATAGTGTGGGGAAATGTCACTGTGTATTTGTCAAAAGCCACAGGATGTTTAAGTGTAAGCCTTAATGTGAACCATAGACTTTGGATGATAATCAAGTGCTCATGAAGGTCCATCAGTTGTAACAAATGACCATTCTGGTGGGGAGTTTAGATAATGGAAGAGGGTAAGATGTGTGGAGGAAGGAGGTACATGGAAATCTCTGTAATATCCTCTCAATTTAATGTGAATCTAAAATTTATTTAGGAAACAAAGTCTACTTAAAATGTAAGAAAGCAGAATTTTTTTTAAAAAATCAGTTTGTAATGATATTTTATTACAGAAGTGAGATAATATGTAAATGACATAAGTAATGATTGGTAATAATTTAATTTATAAATATTTATATACTATACATTAATATAAATATATGAAAAGGGGGATGGAAAGATGGCTCAGTGGTTAAGAGCACTGGTTGCTCTTGCAGAGGACCCACTCAATTCCCAGCACCCACACAGAGGCTAACAACTATCTGTAACTCCAGTTCCAGGGAATCCAACTCCCTCTTCTGACCTCTTCTGACCTCTACAGGCATTGCACTACATGGGTGTACATACACACATGTAGGCAATATACTTATACACATAAAATAAAATAATAAATATTTTTTAATATATATGAAGAATGTAAGGCAAAAAATATTAATGACACACATGCCTATGATGCTAGCACTAGGCAAGAGGACCGTGAGTTTGAGTCTAGCCTGGGCTTAATAATGAGTTCTAAATCTGCCTAGCCTTTGAGCCTATCATAAAAGAAACAGGAGCCAGGCGTGATGGCGCACACCTTTGGTCCCAGCACTCAGGAGGCAGAGGTAGGTGGATGTCATGAGATCTAGGCCAGCCTGGTCTACATAGAGAGTTCCAGGTCAGCTGGGGCTACAAAGAGACTCTGCCTCAAAAAGACAGACAAAAGGAAGGGAGGGAGGGAGGGAGGAGGGAGGGAGGGGAAGAACAAAGGGGAAGAACAGAGGGGAAGAATGCTGGAGATACAGCTCAGTGGTAGAACACTAGCCTAACATGGGTGAGGTTCTGGGTTCAATCCCCAGCACCACAAAAGAAAAAAGGAAATAAAGGAGAGACGGAGGGAGGAAAGAAGAAAGGGAAAGAAAAGAAAAAAGAAAGCAAAGCGTATAATCATTTTATTGCATGCATAAAAAGCATTGACAAAATGCAACATCCTTTCACAATAAGACTCTCAACAAATTAGGGAAGAGAAAAAATGTACCTCTACACAGTGAGGCCTGTATACAGCAAACACAGGTGACAGCATATGGAATGAGGAAAAGTGAAATCCCTTCCCGAAAGGCAAAGACACCCAATCCCCCATTCCTGCTCAAAACAGCACTACAGGAAGTCATAGCAGACAAGAGAAATAAGCGAAAACATACACAAACTGGAAAGGACGTAGTTAAATTGTCCCTGTTTACAGATGTCGTGATCTTGTATACTGAAAACCCTAAAAACTATAATAAACAACCTAGAAATAATTCAGGAAACTTGGAGAATTAAAAAAAAAAATCTATATACAAAAACCACCAAAATGTCTGGCAAAACAGAAAAAATATATTTTAAAATAAATTTTAAAAACACCTATAGAACACTTGTAGTTCCAGCTATTCAGGAGGCTGACACAGGAGGATGACTTGAATCATCAGTTTCAGGAACCAAGAAAACATTGGAGAACTCTGCCTCAAAAGAGGAGGAAAAGGAACAGAAAGGGGGGGGGGAGTGTTGGATCTTCCCCATTTATAACAACTGCGATTTTTTAAATGTGATTGAGGAAGGGAAAGATTTCTATCCTGACAAATATAAAACTAATGAAAGAAATTAAAGACAACACAAGTAAATGGAAGAATGTTCTGTTTGTCAACCAAAAGAATATTTTTAAAGTGTCTACTATGCAAATCAAAATGTAGATTCAATGAAATCCATAGCAAAATGTCAATAACATCTTTATAGAACAGAAAAAAAAATGACTAAAGTTCATATGAAACCACAGAAGGCCCCGAAAAACTAAGGAGCCCATCTCAGGAACAAAGCTCATCTCAAAACATACTTCCAAGTTATAGAAACTATAACAACGTAGTGTTGACAGAAAAACAGAGACCTGGATCAATGGAACACAGCATGAACTACAGACATAAATCTGTATTTCTAGAACCAACTAAACTTCAACAGAACAGCCAGAAACATTCTTTGGAGAATGAACAGTCTTTTTAGTAAAGGGTTCTGGGGAAAACTGGATATTCATAAGAAAAATAATAAAACGATGCCCTCATCTTTCATCATATACAAAAACAACTTAAAATGAATCAATGGTCTATCAATAGAAGGCCTGTAACCATGGTGTGACTGCAGTAAAATGGGAAACGCTGACATTGGGCTGGAATGACATTTTGAAAAAGACTCCCTAAATTAGAGCCAATTAAAGCAAAACTAGGCAACATTATGTCAAACTGTAGATTTTTCACAGCAAAGTAAATAGTCAACAGAGGTAAGAGTCTACCTTCAGGCTAGACTACAGAATGGAATAAAATATCTGTAAACTCTACATCTAATAAGGGGTTAATATCCTAAATAAACAAGAGACCACATGCCCATTCAGCATTCATTGGAGTCAGTAGATTTAAAAAAAAAGAAATAAGAACTAGAAAAAGAAGACATGAACTTCAAAAGGAAATGTGTTATATATTGGAGCTGGAGGAGGATTGTGGGAATTGTGTATGACAAAGTTATGTTGTATACATGTATAAATTTTCAAAGAGAAACCCGATTTTCAAATGTTCAAAAGATGTTAACAGACTTTTCCCAGAAAAAGATATACAATTGGTCAACAAGTGGGAAAAAAATTTGTCAACCTTACTAATTATCAGGTAAATATAAATCAAAATCACAGCCAGATATCACCCTGTTCCTGTTAGAAAGACCATTATCAAAAAGACAAATGCTAACTAGGCATGGTGGCACACACCTTTAATCCCAGCACTCTGGAGGCAGAGGCAGGCAAATCTCTGTGAGATGAAGGCCAGTCTGGTCTACATAGCGAATTCCAGGCAAGCTGGGACTACAGAAATACCTGTCTCAAAACAAACATACAAAAAAGTTCCTCTTTAGAAATTAATCTACAGAAATATTTGTCCAAATATACTAAAATACATGCATATGAATTTTCTAATGCAACATTATTTATTAAAGAAAATGTCTATCAATTCAAATTTGGTCAAAATTAATAATTAAATTTAAATTAATAATTTAATATACATTCATGCAATGCACTATCATATGGCCATATACTAGTAAGTACATAAGCAGATATGGGTAAGAAACATTGTCATGATAAACTACAAACTTGTTAATGGAAAAAGAAACACACAGAACAAAATGTACAGGCCAATTTTATTTTCACTACTATAGATAGTGTATTATGGTGTGTGGGGTATAAGAGCGTGTGTGTGTGTGTGTGTGTGAGTATGCATGTATTATGGTGTGTGTGATGTGTGCATATGACTGTGTGCATGCATGAGCACTCATGTGTATGTTAAAATTAGTCAATTAAAAAAAAAACTCTGTGTTAAAAGTCTTAGAGGGAATTGGACTGGAGGGAACATGCCTCAACATAATTAAAGCTATATGCAACAAACCCACAGGGAACATCATTCTAAATGAAGAAAAACAGGAAGCATTTCCATTAAAATTAGGAACCAGACAAGGCTGTCCACTATCTCCACTCTTTTTTAATATAGTGCTTGAAACTCTTGCTAGAACAATAAGACAAGAGAAGGAAATTAAAGAAGTACTAATTGGAAAAGAAGAGGTCAAGTTATCTCTATTTGCAGATGATATGTTATACATATTATACATAAGAGATCCTAAAAGTCCACCAGAAAACTCCTAGAAATGATTAACACTTTCAGCAAAGTGGCAGCTTACAAAATCTATCTGACAAAATCAGTCACCTTTCTATATACCAATAACAAGGAATTAGAGAAGGAGCCCAGGGAAAGCCTCCCATTCACAATAGCCTCAGAAAAATCTAGGAAAAAAACTTGACCAAAGACATTAAAAACCTCTTCAAGGAACATTTTAAATCTTTGAAGAAAGAGATTGAGGAAGACACCAGGAGATGGAAGGACCTCCCAGTCTCATGAATTGCAACAATTAATATTGTGAAAATGACCATCCTACCAAAAACAATCTATAGATTCAATGTAATCCCAATCAAAATCCCCATGACATTCTTCACAGAATTATTAAAAGAAATCCTAAAATTCATATGGAATCACAAAAGACCCCACATAGCCAAAGCCACCCTGAGCACAAAGAGCAATGCTGGGGGATTACCATACTAGATCTCAAACTATGTTACAAAGCTATAGTCATTTAAAAAAAAAGCATGGTACTGGCACAAATACAGAACATAGATCAATAGAACATAATTGAAGACCCAAATATGAGTACATGCAATTTCAGTCACCTGATATTTGACAAAGGTGCCAAGAACACACACAGGAGGAAAGACAGCATTTTATAACAAATAGTGCTGGCAAAACTGGATCTCCACCTGTAGGAGTATGAAACTAGACCCTTATCTTTCACCCTGCACAAAAGTCAACTCCAAACAGACCAAACCTCAATGTGAAACCTGAGACTCTGAAACTGTTAGAAAAAAACATAAGCAGTACCCTACAAGATATAGGTGTAGGAAAGGATTTTCTAAGTCTGACATCAGTTGCTCAGGAATTAAGGTCAATAATAAACAAGTGGAACCTCACATAATTAAAAAGCTTCTGTACAGCAAAAGAAACAACCAAGAAAGTAAAGAGAAAACCCACAGAGTGGGAGAAAGTCTTCACATCTGTCAGAGAATTGATAGTAATAATATATAAAGAATTCAAAAAACAGGAGTCAAGAAAAAAATGACCCAATTAAAAGATAGGCTGTGGATCTGAACAGAGAGTTCTCAAAAGAAGAAATAAAGATGGCTAGGAAACATCTTACTTAGAAAGTGTTCAACATCCTTAGTAATTAGGAAAATGCAAGTTAAAACTATTTTAAGATTTTATCTTATCCCAATTAGACTGGCTAAGATCAAGAGAACAAATGATATCAAATGCTGGAGAGGATGTGGGGAAAGGGGAACACTCATTCACTGCTGATGGAACTGTAAACTCGTGCTACCACTACCAAGTCAGTGTGGAGAACTCTTAAAAATTAAAAATGAACCTACCATATGATCCAGTTATGCCACTCCTTGGCATATACCCAAAGGACTCATCTTCTTTCAGAGATATTTGTATATTCATGTTTGTTGCTGCTCTTTTCAGAATAGCTAAGAGATAGAAGCAACCTAAGTGGCCTCCCTCATTTCTGGATATTAGCACCAAATCCTTATATGTGAGTACATACCCTAATATAATTGCAGGAGCCAGGAAAATGGAAAGGAATCTGGGAGGTAAAAGGAAAGAAAGAACCTAAGAGAGAGGAATAGTAGGAGTCAGGTGTCACCAAGGGGGAAATGGGTAAAATGGAGGTATTTAACTGGGAGGGAAGAAGGGGGGGTTATACAAGGAAACATGAAGGTAAGAGGGAAGAAGGAGCTCAAGAGATGGGGGCCATAGGAGAAAGGTATTATCAAGGGTGAAATGGGGAAAATGGGGGTAAATTAACTGGGGAGGAAGGAAGAAGGTTAGACATGGAGAGAAGAGAGATAAATAATGCTTAACTGGTGCAAAACCAGAGGGAAATGTATTGGCTCAAAACCTTGCTGAAAAATTGCACATACATTGTCTCTACATGCATGTATACGTACAGCTGAAGGCTATATAACAAGAAGCAGTGCCCGAAAGGAGAAACTTTCCTTTGAGTTGTTGGCCAGGGTAGTCCAAGAGACTCCCAAAACCACACAGGCTATTGCCACAGCCCTTGATTGCCTCCCAGAACTTGAAGGTAAAACCCTATTGCTAAAAACAGGACATACTTCAGACACAGGACTCGGAGCAATGGAGCTGGAACTGACCTGGAAGTCACCTCCCTGAAGGCTAGCTCTCACAGTTTTGGAGGACACTATGTAAGCTGCTAAGGGAGAACATCAGTCAGCTGTCCAACACCAGCTTTAAGGCCTAATAACCACAACAAAAGCCAGTAGAGCAACACAATATTGTTGCAATAGTGGCACTCTTATCTTGGGGGTGATCAACAGCTACCTAATTGGACTTAAAGCCTGCTCAGTGGCACTGTAAACATAGCCAAATACACATGGTTGGAGAGGTCATAGATCTTAGAGAAAATCCTAAGGCCATGTTATCCCTAGATAAATGTAATTTCTTACTACATAAGAAACATGGACCCTTATATTTACAGACAAGTATCCCAGTCACCACTCATCAAAGAAGCTTCTTTTGCAATAGACGGAGACTATTACAGAGTTCCATAACTGGTCACACACAGAGATTGTCTGTGAACTGCCCAAGCCTAAGTGACACATCTACATTAGAACCTCTACACCTAAGGCTCATGGAACATAGCGGAACAAAGGGTAGAGAGAATACTACTGTATCTCTCAGCTCTCATGAACGAAGCTCCCTCATGCGACAGAGGGCAATGAACATAAAAAACACACAAAAAATAAAATAAAACACACAAGCAAAAAATTGCATGTACCTTTTCTATTTCCTTTTATGTTTAAATTTCCTTTTTAACTGGTTTCATCTTTTGTATCAGTCTTTCTATAGCTTTCATTTTATTATGCTTTATATTTTTGTAAAGATACCCTATATATTACACATCATTATACTGAATTATAGACTTTCGGTATATTTAAATTTCCACTTTAGCATTTTATTCTCTCTATTCATAACCTAAGGTATGTTTTAAATTCCTAGAGTGTTAATTTTTACTTTCTGTCTTCTCTCATCAATACATTTGAGTTTTGAAAATCTGAATTTTCCTTTTTATAGAATTCATGACAAAGTATCTCTGCTGTTCTCTAATTTCTAGTTTTACATTTTATTTTAAATATCAGTTATGTGTGCATTTTTGAAAATATTCATTTCCTAAATACATTTAAAAATAAAATTTCAAAATGTGAATAAAAAATCTCTCAGTGCAAAATCTCTTCATTACACATTAAAATAGTAAATAACTTACCCCAATGTAACAAGACCACATAGAATTTCTGAAAAATCATCTTATTTCAGAGACCTGGACCTGAAAAACAAAAATCGAAATCAAAGCAACAGAGAAAAACTCATATATACCAGCTCTCTATGAAAATACAAAAGGAAAATTATTACAAGCCTTCAGTGTTCTGTTATACTGGATTAATATCAGAGAATCATTTCACATTACGGTACATAGATTTATTGCTGTGTACATGCTGTCTTGCATAGTTAAAAGATAAGTCATAGGATTTAAAAAAAAAATCACTCAGTGTTTCCTCCTGCCACACAACAGGGCAAATATCACAGGATAAGGCTGAATTTTCAACCAAACAAGTATTCTGGCCTCTGTGGGCATTGCACCCATAGGTGAACTTACATGCATGCAGGCAAAATACTAATACATATAAAATAAAAATAAACCCAAAAATATTTAAACTATTCATTTCAGGACTGGGGAGATGGGTCAGCGGGCCACACTTGCTGCACAAGCATAAGGACCTAGGTTCAAATCCCCAGCCCCCACATAAAATGCAGAGCATGGCTGTATGAGCCTATAATCCTGGCACTATGGAGGGTAGAAACAGAAGGATCACAGAGCCTGCTGGCTGCCATTCTAGCTCCAGGTTCACGGAGAGACACTGCCTCAAAAGAATAAGACAAAGAGTGATAGAGCAGTCCATCCAGCATCCTACGGTCTCTGCATGCATGTAACTACAACACACAACACACACACACACACACACACACACACACACACACCACAGATACATACACAGAGAAAAAGAGCTTTCAACCTCCCCAGTAAAGACTAGAAACATTTTCAAGGAAAACAAGCAAATTCTTATTATTTTTATAATAAATTACCATAGAATAACTAGTATTTATCTTTGGGCAGTGAAGGCATCTGGGTCTACTTCCAAAGTAAACTGATACATGCATTCTAAGAAAACAAACCTTATAAACCAAAAATGTATCAGCTTAATTCTATTTGATGTATAATTCTGCTTTTCAGAAATAATAGATTTATCAAGTCTATGGACCTCTTATATTTCATATATTCTCTGTAGTTCTTGTTTTTTAACTTTTTTAAATTATCTTATGTGTATGAGTATTCTATTTGCATGTATGTAAGGGCACCATGTGCATACAATGCCCGCAGAGGCCAGTAGAGGGCATCTGATCCTTAACTGGAGTTAAGGATGGTTGTTAGTCACCATGTGCATGCTGGGAACAGAACCTGGATCCTCTGCAAGAGCAGTCCATGCTCTTAACCACTGAGCCATCTCTCCAGTCCTTATTCTCTGTAATTATTTCAAATCACTTCACCTCTGAATCAGATTCAGCAGGGGAGCCCTTTGTCCAGGGCTTTCAAACTGACCCCTGCAGCTGGCAAACTATTGCGCAGAAAGCACATTAGAACTATCCTGTGTTTGTTAGCTTCCTGTTTGACAACATGGCATTGCTATATGCAATGAAATAAATTCAACAAAACCAGAAAAGAGCACAAAATGCTCCTCATGCATTGTTGACTTGTGAATGTCGTATATATGTGTGTGTATCTATGGTGTGTGTGTGTGTGTGTGTGTGTGTGTGTGTGTACGTACATGTGAAGTGTGTGTGGGGGAACTATGTGTGGGTGTGTTCATGTGTCTGGTGTGTGTGGTATGTGCCTATGGGTGCATATTCACATGGGTGTGCATACATATGGAGGCCCAAGGTTGACCTCATGTATCTTCCTCAATTGTTGTCCACCTTTATTTTTTTGAGACAGAGTATCTCGCCAAACCTGAAGCTCATCAATTCAGCTTGGCTAGCTGGCCAGTCAGCTCCGGTGTCCACCTGTGCATAGCCCCTCAGCTCTGGGTTTGCAGGACTGTCCACCACCTCCTGGCCTTTCCACACTGGTTCTGAGAATCCAAACTCAGCTCTTTGTGCTTATGCAGCAGTCCCTTTACCACTATGCCATCTCCCAAGCCCCATATTTGGGTTTTTAAAATAAAATATTTTTAACTATTCTAAGGAAGAGAGTAGGTACTTGTAAATATTTTTAACTAAATTAACATAGACGATAAACATTCCCATATTTTTTAATTAACACTTTTTTAAGTCATTTGGGAGTTTAGACATAGAAAACGCTATGTTGAAATACAAAGTTTGAAGAAATATTTATGAAGAACACGTAAGGCTCGTCATAGTCTGCTCTGAACAGCAGATGCTCAGTCCATCATCTTCCCTGCAGAGTGCGCCAGACACCGACGCACAGTGAACTCAGCTAGTTTGTCCTTGACTGTAAACTAAAGAGACTGTGTTCTATTGAATGGTCATGTTATGAGTTTTCAGAGGAAAACCAGACTGTTGGATTTGTACAACCAACCAATATTTTGCATTTTTATCTATCAAACACACAAATATAAAATGAAAGTCTCTGTCTGTGTTTGAATGAGTGGTTAGACTGAAAAAAAATCATTTAGAACTTGCTCCAGTGATCTGGAGAAGTCTGAGGCTGGAGAGGCTGATGAGGAAGGAAAGCAAATCCACTGACAGTCCATTTGCTTTGCTGAATAACTCAGGGAGCTCCATCTGCTGCCAATGCTTTCACACTTTCCACTAAAAAAAAATCTATCTCATACTTAAATAACAGCATTTAAGCATTTTAAATTATATTTAAATTTAAATTTATATTACATTATTAAATCATATTTAAATTAGAAATGAAAACATTATTTTTCAAGTGTCAAAATTTTAACAAAATACATATAGCCTGGTCTATTCCTAGAGATCCTGTCATGTTAAGTCTGCCTCCTTTTATTTCTTCACTAAAAATAGAAATTTGTCATGTGGTTTCCATCAAGCAGCTGTTAAAGACGAGCTATTTTAGGTTATTTTTTAAGTTAAAAAAAAAAAAGAAAGAAGACTTCTTTACAGGCATGGTGAAACATGCCTACAGTCCTGGCACTTAGAAGGGCAGAGGGAGATGACCACGGGATCAAGGCCAGCCTGAGCTACATAGTGAGTCTCAGGCTAGCCAGAGCTACATTGTAAAGTCCTATCTCAAAACAAAAAAAAAAAAATCCTCCATCATGTTGGCATAAGCATTTACTACTCTGAAACCCTAACCTCAAGTGTTTTAATTCCTACCTCAGTGAGAGACCCTGCCTCAGTAAAGTGGAGAATTACTGAGGAGGATACTCAAGGTGAACTTTCGGCCTCCATACACACACACAAGTGCACATGAACCCACACACATGTACATCCACACACACATGGGAACATACACATATGCCATATGCCATATGCTATATGCCATACAAACACACACACACACACACACACACACACCACCACCACCACCACCACCACCACCACCACCACCATACGCATACATACACATGCAAAAATAAATTCCTGGGGCTAGAAAGATGGTTCAGTGGTTAAGAGTACATACGGCTCTTGCAAAAGAGCCAAGTTTGGTTCCCAGCACCCATGTTGGGCAGCTCACAACCACCTACAACTCCAGCTCTAGGGGATCCAATGCTCTCTTCTGACCTATCTGGGCACCTTCACTCTCATGCAGATAACCACACATACACACACATACTCATAATTAAAAGTACAAATAAATCCTTTTTAAAAAGGGAACCAAGTCTTTAAAAAATAATTCCTTAACTAAAACATTTATCCTTTTCATATAAGAATTACACGGTTTAAATTTTAAAACAGGCACCAGCACAATTACTCAGTGAGTAAAGGCACTTACTGCCAAGTCTGATGACCTGAGTTGGATCCCCAAGATCCACATGGTGGAAGGAGAGAACTGACTCCCAGAAGTTATCCTCTGACTTCCATATGTGCACTACAGGCACCCATGCACACATGTACACATACATACATATACACACATGCAAATAAATAAACAAATAAATAAATGTAATTAAATTTTTTAATTCAAAAGAATTCTAACTTAATTTTAAGTAAGTATAAAACTCTAAATGAAGAAAAATATTATAAAATGGTTAAATAGGTATCTTAATCACATAAAAATGATGGTATTTCTTAAACATCTGTGATGTCCAAGATTTTTAAAAGTCAACTATTTAGAAAGAGTGGGTCAGAGACATTATATTTGTTTAAAAATCATCAAAAGTTCCACAAGATGGACCTTTAGCTGCCCCTACCCCTGAAGAATGGGGAGGAATGAAAAGCCATAGTAAGTACTGTGAGAGAGTCCAAAACTCAGCCCACAGGTAGCAGTAAGGGGTAACAGGAAGTCCTGCACAAGAACTGATTTGCAAGCTTGGAATATGTTAGTCAAAATACCAGAAAGTCATAAGTCCCAAGGACTTCTTTTTATAGACTATTCTTTTACATTCTATTGGTTTTATAAGAAAGTTGATTTACCCCCAAATCATGCGTATGACCTGTAGCATTGTTCAGAAAAAACAAAGGTCACTATAGAAACACTTAGATATCTCCTAGACAGGAGATATCTCACACACACGCATCACATATGTATGTGCATCACATATGTACCTCTCTCACACACACATCACATATGTATGTGCATGATTTACCTCCTAGACACCAGCCAGTTTGGCTCAGAAATTCTGTTGATGCACAGAGAATACAATTGTTCGATTATCTCACATTTCTAGTTTCTTAATTCTCATAGACAGACACCCAAATAACAGCTGTTGGTTAAAGCAAAATGAGAAAACATAATTCTGAGAAAAACTAAGCTGTCCTAAGCCTTCATGAAACAGACATTTGGTAACAGCTGTTCTTAAACATGACTTCACATTTTTAAAGCCTATTATAATACCATTACAGAAGCTCCTGAGAAGCTCTCTGTTTGGCTCAAATTGTCACAATGTTCCCATAAACTTTGTAGAAACTCTTAATCCAGCAGCAAGACATGCTCACTTATTTGTGCTTATGTGTGCATCCTCATTCTCATTCATTCTCTCTCTCTCTTTCTCCTCTCTCTCCCTCAATCTCTCTCCATCCCTCCCACCTTCCTTCTTCCCTCCTATCCTCTTTCAGTCATTT